GGCACTAATAATAATAATAATAATAATAATAATTATTATTATTATTATTATTATTATTATTATTATTATTTATTTATTTATTTATTTATTTATTTGAAATGTGTAGGATATTTAAATCTAGGGTTCATTTTGGTAACTTCTAGAAGTTAATTTGGTTAGATAATTTGTGCATGGGCTATTATTTGAAATCATGCTAAATCCGAGGGACCAAGACTGCCAATTGGTAATTCCCATGTCTTCTTCCTTCCCCATTGACTTTTCTTTACATTGTATTTTCATTAAAAATCATAATTTAAAAAATCATAAATAAATACGACGTCAGATTTCGATGTTTTTTATATTCATAAATTTGTAATCACGACTACTGCAATTTTCATAATATTATTTATTCAAAATAATATTTTTATTATAAATATCATTTAACATAATTCGTTAATTTATAATAAGTTTTTATGCAAATATATAAGCTCATAATATTTGTCCATATAACATGTACGCAATAAATTAACCCTTATATAACCCGAATTACGTACGAAAGATTCATATTTATTAACGATTATCCTATTCGAGGATTTTAATTATCTAATAAAATGAATATCTGTATCCTTAAATATCTGGCACGAATTTCCGGATGTTACACTTGTATCTCCACAAATACATAACCACCCTCAAAAAGTCTCAATCTTTGGTTTCACCGGCTCATGTTCCTAACATACCATCATCCACTCATTTGCAATCATTCTCCTTCATGTCATTATCTTTAGCAACCTCGTTAGCTTCTTCTGGTTCATTACCACCTTCATAGGTTCTTTAGACAGCTCTTTATCTGATCTTGTGGACATAACACACAAGATCAACATATGATGATGACCGGGTAGCAAAAAGTAGAAAACTTATGGAAATCCCCAAAAGCACTCCAATGAAAATGTAGATGATATGATATACCACTTGTTGGGGATCTTAAGGTAGATCAAACCACTACCAAACATATCTCAAAGATATATCAAACACTTGGTCTAGTAGAAAAAATTTAAAACCTAACATTTGAGACAAACTATAGAGTAGGGTGAGGAAAACAATAAAAATGTCTAATAATGAGAGCAATAAATGAAAATGAACAAATATAGAAAACAAATCAATACGAGACACGAGCATTTAGCTTGGTTCTACCATTTACATAATTAATATGATCAACAATCAAACAACTGGAATGCATGTTGAGTTATAGGTGAACGAAATGAAAGACCGAAAACATAGATATACCATGAAGGCATGCACTAATAGAAAGAAAATATGGGAAAGAACTACGCCCATAGATGGTTGGCCATGACATGGCTCTGACATCAAGTCACACAACCATGTCGCCTTGAAGGGGTGAACCTCTAGATCATATGGCATCCATCTAGCAAAAACTTTTTGGGGGGAAATAATGAAAAGAAAAGGAAAAATGATATAAATGTTCTACGAATTTTTTAGGGTTTATCCGTTGAGTCTTTAAAATTTTTATCAAATTTTACGGATCCCTAAACTAGAACATGATCTGCTTTTTAGTCCCTGTCAATCTGTAATAGCCGGTTCAGTGACCTTTTAGACCAAAAAAACTCACATTGTACCCCTATAAAGCCAAAAAAAAAAAAAATTCAAGGATCAACTCATACAAAAAAAAAAAAAAAAAAAAAAAAAAAAAAAAAAAAACTCATTTTATTCTAAAGTCGGTTAACACTCAATTCGTATTGATCCCCGAACTTATTTTTTTGGCTTTATATATATAGGGGCATAATATGAGATTTTTTGATCTAAAAGGTTACTGAACCGACTATTACATGTTAACATTGACTAAAATAGCATGTCATATCTTAGTTTAGGGATCCATAAAACCCGACAAAAGCTTTAGGGCTAGAAAATTCGTAGAGCATTTGTGTCATTTTCCTTAAAGGAAATAGTCTAGTTTGTTGCTACATTGTTGTGAGATCATCTAGCGGTGGCTTTATTTTCTCTTTGGCATGTCCAGATGTGATAGTGTATCATACAAAATTTACAAGTTATATGTACATATAGTTATGTATTTGTAATTTGTTTTTAAAATGATATAGCCATCTAGATGAACCACGTATAAACGGGAAAGAGAAAATATGACAAATACACCAAAAACTATAGGATTCCATTCGGTAGTCATATTTTTTATCTTTTGTGGGTATCTTTTGTTGTAAGTTTGTGTGTATAGCCACACATTATGCAAGCAAGTATAAGGTATTACTTTTATCCGTTTTGTTGGGGAAGTTGGTATTATTTTTCTTCTTGTGAATTTGTAGGTGTAAGCTGTGACCGAAAGTATATTTGATGGGGTAACCTTCATCATGTTGCACATATCTTAGATGGATCTTCCTCATCTTCGGTAATATCGATATTAACTAGATTCCAATAAATCAGGTGATTGTGATTTCATTATTCTCGAAAACGAAATTGACATGTATTCAATGTAAAAAGACATGATGATCCTAAATCATTATAGAAATATGAAAATTTGAATTTCTAGTCAATCATTTGAAAAGGCAAAAGGCAAGTTGATCAACTTTCCAACCTTTTTCCGAGTTGATAACCATATAAGGTAATGTCATTTTAAGTAACATACAAGCGGGCGTGTTTGGCATGAAACTTTTGGAGGGTGTTTGGGAGTGCTTTTTTAACTAGAAAATTTTGGAGGGTGTTTGGGAGTGCTTTTTTAACTAGAAAATTGTTTTTAGATAAAAGTGTCTATTTGCTTATAGTGATGGTAAAAAGAGTTTTTTAAAAAGTGTTTGGATAAGCTTTTATAATGAAAAAGTCAATAAGTCAATAAGTTAAAAAGTGTTTGGCTTAAAAAATGCTTTTTGAAGTTATTAAAAAGTGTTTATTGAAGCTTATGGAAAAACTATTCTAAAAAATGCTTTTGAGTTTGCAAAACACTTTTTTTTTGCTTATTAGTTTTTCAAAAAGCCAATAAGTAAATAAGCATTTTTCAAACGCAATCCCAAACACCCCCTTGGAAGCGTTTGGGAGCTTCTAGCTTTTAGTTTTTGACAAAATGCTTTAGTTTAAACAAAAAAATTGTGTTTGATAGTACGAGCGTTTAACTTTTAATTTAAACAAAACGCTTCAAATCTAAAAGTTACTTCATATAGTGTTTAACAAAACACTACTGAATTTTTGAAATCAATTTTCATAATTACCTTTAAAAATATATTTATATATTTATTTATTTTTAATCAGTTGTCATCTTATGTAATTTTATATATTTAAAAAGTTTCCAGTTACTTTTGTCAAACACTCATATAACAAATAAAAGTTACAGCTTCCCGCTATCAGCTATCCGCTAACCGCTTCCAGCTAACAGCTACTTTTGTTAAACACGCCCAAGATTTGTACAAAGATTGATAATATACGGATAGTAGTTTATATCTAATTTAAAGTAAAATATTATATTTGTTCAAAATAATATTTAAATATCACATATATATACATTAAATAAAATTTCAAACTATCCTATTTTGTTAAATGTTTTAAACATTTTTATAATCATTTAATGTCATTATAATTATAAAAAATTGGAATGCCCATAATACCTATCTTGTATCTTATTGGAATACATGATATCTGAATTTTGAAATATATGTGAGAGACCGATGCAGGAGAGAACGATGTGTAGTAGCGATTTTATTTGTCGTATGACAGCGACAACGTCTACGACAGATAACATCAGGGTGAGTGAAGTCTCTCCTAATTATTTTGGAAACTTGTTATATATATATATATGTGTGTGTGTGTGATATTTAGAAATTAGGCATTGCGAATATATTATTTTGTTGTTTATTTAGGACATATATAAAAAATTTCCTATATGAAAATATAATCATACATAATTATTCTAAAATGATTCAAAGGATAACATCAGTTTAAGTGAAGCATTTCCTTCTAAGAACCGACATAATTTATAACAAAAAATTATAATTATCGATAAAAAGACCTGAACTTTTTATTTTCTAAAAATCATACGAAGAATAACATCAAGTAAACGTCATTGTTATGGTTAGAGATGAAAGTCTATCAATTTACTTATTGTTTGAGGCTATATTTTTCTTCGTATCTATTTACTTATCATTTGAGGATATACTCTTCTTAAATGAGCTCCATAAAAATGTCTTTTCTTATTGAGAAACAAAGTTGAGGATGTCGAAAATCGTCCAAAGTATATTAGTTACATTACCAAATTTTTATTCTTATAAGTTAACATGAATTTTGTAATTGGATATAAATAATTAGTTATTCACAAACTTTTTAGAAATTAAATAAAAGTTAACAGTAAATTACAAGAATTATTACTCGTGTTTGCCAAAAGCTATGGATATATTCCAGATTTTCATTTCATTTGCTGCATCATTAGTCACTAAAGTTTCATTTTGCTACTATTTTAGTCTATTATAAGTAAATCTAACACTTCATAGTCCCTATTAACACATCATCAAGTGCTATCCTCACATCATTTGCGCATTGTGCACCTAATGTGATGACATAACTTTGGTCATCTCCCCTTCTCTCTCTCTTATGTATCTTGAAAACACTTATTTTCTTTTCTCCTTTTTTCATACTTCATCTTATTCATTTGTCTTTTTCCCCATTGTGCACTTATAGTCTTCACAAAACAAAACACACATTGTCATTGAAACTTAAATGGAGAGAAAAACAAGTGAAGAATATGAAAAGACCCAACTTACTACAAATGGTACAATTTACCTTTTTCTTATTCAACTTTTAAACTTGTCATTTACCCAAGGTGAGTTACACAAACAAAACTTGGTAAAAAAAAAAAAACAAATTGTACATTTTCTGATTTTCACACATCATGTGCAAGTTTTCTCCATTTCCATCGACTATAATCATTCTCACACTCCAAATTTCAAAACCTTTATTCCCTCCCCTACCCCCTACACCTTTCCAAAAATGGCAAGGTGACTTGATATTCATCAAAACATTAAATGAAAAACTCCATCTACAAAACCAACATCGTTACTTAACACACCAAAACCAAAATTACAAAAATACTTTAAAAGAAAAAGAAAACTAAAATCAACAAAATTACAAAATTACAAAATCCTCATTTTTCAAACCTACCACAATAAACATCATGTCCAACATATTCCACACTCACAATTCTTCCATCAAAAACCCTTCCATGTAAACAATGAGCTGCCATTGTAGAAGCTTCTATTCTTTTATACTCCACCAACACACAACCACCCTCAAACCTCTCCTCCACCACCACGCCACCACCATCACCGCCGCCAGTAGGAGCCGCCACATCTTCAGGCGGCGGCTCTTTATCTGGGCTTGTAGACAACACCTTGGTTGGCTTCACAACATTAACCGATTTCACCATGCCAAACCTACAACACATCACATTACATTCAAAACTAAGCAAAAAGACGAAAATACCCTCCACTGAAAATAGGGTTGTGATGAGGTTAGACCTGGAACACTCGAGGCGTACATCTTCTACTATTTCTTCAAATTCTTGTTCAGAGAGTGACGATAGGCTCTGTGGGTCCACCTATTTAGTTAAAATAAATAAATAATGAGTTATTTAAATAAATTTAACTATTTATTTAAATAATAAAAGAAAATAGATTCTAAATTTAACATACCAAATTATTGAGCTTGAGGACTTGTGTTTGTTTCTGGAGAAGCGGTTGTGCGTGTGCAGGTGTACCATAAAACGGGTGGTCATTGTCTCCATGATTTTTTTCCTAATGATGTTTATTAAATATGAGGGGCAAAATTGGAATTATATAATGAAGAAAATGAGATTTTAGTTTTTAGTTTTACCATTGAAGAAGTATTATCTGGAGTTGCTTGAGTTACAGTCAAGAGTTGACCACCCAATTTCATTCCATTAAGACCAACACATGCTTTGATAGTCACTGATTGATCAACATACTGTGTGATTCAAAGGGCAAAATCGTCAATTCAAATATAACCATAAATACAAACGGAATAGAAACTAATTAACTATATTTATATACCTCAAGGAAAGCACATGGAGTAGTCTCAAGATCTGAATTATGCTCAAAATGGAAAGCTTTTAAAGGTCCAAAAGCACTAGCAATCTCCATAATCTGTGAATCATATAATTTGTACATTATTTATAAAAAAGATAATTGAGTTTTTTTTTTTTTTTTTTAAATGTAGAAATAGTTTGTTACCATTTGAGAAGTAATAATCTTTGAAATCCCACCAATGAAAATCTGATATTTTTCAAGAAACAAAAATGAGAAATAACAATATTGATTTTTTAATAAAAAATAAAAATAAAAAGTAGATTGCTATAAAAAATCTAAAAATTTTCCAAAGTGAACCTTATTAGGAGAATCTTGAACAATGTTTTTAACTGAAAAAGCTCCTCCAGCTACAGCTACAGGCTGCTTCTCTAACACACCAGTCTGCATGAAAATAGCAACTGTCTGAAAACCTGCTAACATAAATAGTAACCACATAAACAAGAAACTATTTATAAAATAAAATAAATAAATAAATACTATATTACTAAAAGATTTACAAATCTACATTCATACATAAGAATGATATATGCCAAATACAAGATCTTGTTTTGGCATTTAGCTATTAGAATTTAGAAACCATAAAGGAAAAGGTTATCAGTCTTACAGTGGCTTCAACATAGTCTTTAGGGCGTCTGATTTTAAGAATATTGCCATTGAAAGACCTTCCATCAAAGCTTAAAGCAGTAGAAGCATCTTCAGGTGTGAGAAATTCCACAAGAGCTTGACACTTATCCTTATTCACCTTCAGTAAAACCATAATAACCAAAAACTCCATTTCCACTTTCATAAAAACATGCAAAATAAAATAGAGACACTTACAATGCAGCTAATACATGGATTAGTGCTCTGAAGATGATTTAAACCATAAGGTCGAAGATAACCACTAAGCCACTCCACTACAGCTGCTTCAGAGGCTGAAGATGGCAGGTTTTCTACATAAATCCTTCTTTTAGGTCTTGTTGCTTGAGTCAACTGAACAGAGTCAACTGATGTATTCATCAATGAAGGAAATGAAAGAACTCCAAATGTTGGCTTTGGAATTGGAACACTTGGAGTAAGGGGAACCATGTTAGGGAGTTCAATTTTGTTTAATGACATCAAATTTGGAAGAAAAGAAGTCAATGGATTAGGAGTTTTTGATTCGATCTTCACAGGTGATGATTCAGTTGGAGATGGAGCTTCGTTTCTTCTCTTTCTTGGTGAATAGCCACCAAGGCGACTTACAGATGAATCGTGTCTTTTAGGTTTGTTGATTGATCCATTGTTTGATACCCTTTTTCTGTCAAGATTGGGATCGAATCTTCCTGCTTTTGAAGAATGTGAGGAGGATAACATTTCTTCATGATCTTTCACATCATGTAATCTTGGTTTATTTCCCTTTGGTGAAGGTGAATTTGACCTTCTTTTCTCTCTCTCATGTCTTTTTCTTGATTCAAGTTTCTTGTCTCTATTTCTCTCATCGTATCCATTTTGATTCAGCCTGTTGAGATGTTCAGATTTCCCTCTATTCCTCTCAATATTTCTGTCCCTTTCTTTTACTGAAGAATCTTTACCATGTCTCTTTTCATGTTCACTACCAAAGTCATGAACACCCCTTTCTTTTCTTCTATCTTTTGTGTTATCACTACCAGCCTTTGATCTTCTTTGAAGATCGACACTTTCTTTGTGTTCACCTTCTACTCTTTTTTGGTCTTCCCTCATGGATTTGTTCTCTTTTGTTCTTGAAGTTACAGTTAAGGGTTCATTAGGAGCAGGTTGTTCATCCCTTTGTCTGTGTCTATCAGATTCTACACGACCAGAGACACTTTCGGCTTCTTTAGGGTAGACTATCTCTGAAGCAAGTCGTTGATCTTCAACATTTACAGATAGCTTTTTGTTTTTCCTTCTAAGCATTATCTCATCGAAGCTATAAGGTCTTGTTCTTGCAGCTGTGCCATCAATGAAGTGACTCTGTGAGATCTCGTATCTGTTTGAGTACTTTTCCTTGTGCCCTAGAGGCTTTCTCATCGTGCTTGAGGCTTATTGTTCGATAGTCATTAACTATTTAACTCTCATTTAAAACCCTAGCCCTGCAGTTAAAAGGAATGTAATGATCAGAAAGAATACAATAGAGTGTAACAGAAATGAACCATCCATCATACAGGATTGACACGATAAACCACGAACCAAAAAACCCTAAAATAAAACACAAATTTTTTTATGGTATCGCGATTTCTGATCTTAGAAAATGTTTCGATCGAGAAAAACTCGACACAACAAGAATCAACGGCATAGTTCCGCCAATCTTCAAAAGAAATGTTCAATGTTTCTATAAATATATTAGGAACCAATACCAGTAATGGTAATATAAAGTTAATGAAGAGGAACGAAGAACAGAATATACTTTTAGGAGTAAGAAGATTCAATATGTTACCTGTAAGCTAAGATACGAAGGGGCGTCTGCGTCACCGTCGTCTTCGCCGGCGGCGGTTTGAAGTCCTATGGTAGGTTACTGTTACGTCGCCTTGTTTCCAACAGAACTTATCCCTGCTGCCTGTTTGGCCGTAATCACCTAGGTTCGAGTTATTCTGATGAATGACAATTCAGGTACTTGTACTTTTCTTAATTTGCTATTTCAGGCAAACATTTCACTTTTTACCACCAAATTCGCTTCAAGTTCAATTAATTAGTTAAATTGACCCCATCTAACTTAAAGATGGCTTAATAGCAAATAAAGAGAGGTCTTCTTAACCAAGGGTGAATGGTAAAACTAGGTATCCGATTTTGGAATCGGAACCCATTGTGGAACTACAAGTTTCTAAAATTGAATCTCGGTACCTAAAGTTTAGAACCGATTAGAAACGGTTATGGTTCATGTTTTTATATTTTGGAACTGCTACTTGTTGCGTACAACGTACCTGTCAGTTTCGGTTATGGTTCTAATTATACCATTAGAAAAGGAACAAGTGTTGCAAATTGATAGTGTTACGTTGAAGTGCAACTAACTGACATCGTTAGAAAATTAATTATAATAGTGTTTAAAATGTTTATGTCAATTGTTAGAGGTAACCTTATTGTGGAAATAAGAGTCATATCAATTTAATCACCAAGTTTATTGTAACGTCCTAAAAATTCATAGTAAAATTTTCATTTTTAAAACAGTAAACCATACAAAAAGGTTAACCTAAATTGATTACAGTGAATATATTATTTAAACATCAGAATAAAGGTCATAATTTGCCAATATGAAAAACTTTGGGGGATGTTGTGCAGTCACGTCGGATCATTCCCTTTCGTACGGAAAGTATTTGAAACCATAACCATAAAACTGTAAGCACAACGTTTAGTGAGTTTCCCAAAATACCACATATCATACATACAATAAAGATTGTTATGTGCCAACCATAGTCTTTCCATTATACCATGAGTCGTATCATGGTCTTCCATTGCCAAGCCGGGGGCCAAAACCCTGGGTCTTACAGACAGGTGCCAAGAGTCACCTCCTGGTCTTCCATGTAAGTATCACAAAGACAACTAGCACACTACATATATCTGCTAGGGTCCAATCCTTGTACTTGCATACAATTTATCGGGAGCCACCTCTAGGTTTTTCATACAAGTGCCAAGGGCCACCCCCTAGTCTTCTTTTATAACATAAGCCAATGGACCGGAATTGGTGCCTTCGACCCTATAGTATAATGAGAAGACAGCTTGGTCTGAACAAATAGTTGAATAGGTCTCGGCTCCGAATATCATCTCTACTCATCACCTATCCGACAAATACTGACCAATCTCATTACAACTCAAAATACCCAAATTACCCTTAGGTCAAACTTTGGTCAAAATCCAAGTCAAAATCAAAAGTCAAAAGTCAACTCGGCTGGCCACCACGTCGTGGCCTCCTTCGCTACGTCATGGTCGCAAACCGCTAAAACAGACGGGTCTAGACCAAGTCACCACGACGTGGCGACCTAAACCGTGTCGTAGTGATGGGCCTGGACAACTTAAACCATTAAGTCCTTCTTTCCAACTACACAACTCCAAGGCTTAGATCTAAAGCTTCCCATTGTCTTAATGGATAATGTTTCCAATTTTATCCCTCAAATCCTTCCATAAACCAAACTCCCAAACCTAATCACTAATGGTGACTTAATGCATCAAGATTCTCATCAAGCACCAATTCCTTAGATCTACTTTTCCAAAGTTTCCACAAGGGTTTCCTACACCTTCTGGACCATAAAAACCATAGCTTTAGGGGCATGCACATCCTTTCTATTTTTAGGGTAAAACAAGAGCAAAAATGGCCAAAATTCCATGCATGGCCTCAAAAGTCAAGTCTACTTCAGATCCAAATAGTCAAATGCTCCAAATGGCCTGGAGATTCATAAAGTTACGAACTTTATGAAATCTCACATTCCAAAGCCCACAAAGCATGAAGAAAAGGGACCAAAATCCAAGATCTAACAACCTAATAAGAAAAGTGAAGGGTTTTGAGAATTCTAACACTCCTAAGGTGTTCATGCAACCCTAGAAACCTTGAATCTATGTTTGACTAAGATACATGCAAAATACTTTTTCCAAGGTTCATAATCCTATCTAGCATACATGGGAAATTTAAACATAAAAGATTGCTAGAATTACATACCTTGTAGTTGATTTGATTCCTTGAAAACCTTGAGAGCCTAGCACCCTAAGTGTGATGCCTCAAATGTTTCACACAACACAAAATGCTCCTAGAATAAACTTTGAGAGAGAATGTCGCACTTAGAAATCGGCTTGTGTAACGCCGGTAGATCCGGGCTAGTCAATTTAGAGACGATAAGCGTCAAAAATGACTTTTTGATGGAAGATTATTTAGAAAGAGTAATCTTAACTAAGTTGTAGTATATGTTACAAGGATTCTGTGCATATAAAGAACGCCGAAATACGAGTTATAACGAAGAAGTTATGACCCGTCGAAGTTCCGCGACAGTACCGGCACGACGTTGAATGACGTAAAAAGTGAATTTACGTTAGAGCAATATTTAGACTTATCGATCTAAACAAAAGTCATAAAATACGTTAAACCTAAAGCGTGCATAAAAAGAACGCCAAAATCTGACTTCGTATGAGGAAGTTATGATTTTTCCAAAGTTTCGACTTAGCAGTATGCAGTCTGAATCCTCGATTTGAGATCGAGTGATTTTTAGCCAAAATAATCTAAATGAGAATCAAAGATCTCATCGATAGTAGTGAAACGATAAAAAGATAGATGGAAACGGACGTCAGATGAAGAAGTTATGAATTTATAACGGAGTTTTCCTGTCCCGACCTATTAAAAATAATATAAAAGTAATATATTTATAATATATTAAAAATAAAATCAAAATTAGCCAACAGAGTCTAAAAAAGAGTTGTAGAGAATATTCTCACCTACACGTCAATATAAAGAACATCGAAAACGGAGTTCGTATGCGAAAATTATGAATTTCTGAAGTTCGGGGTGCGAAACCCCAAAACTGTCAGCCACCACGACGTGGTAAAAGTGCCACGATGTGGCAAGAGCTCTGGAGTCTGTCAAACCCACTTGCAATGACGTATGCAGTGACGACCCAGCCACCACGACGTGGCAAGGGCAAATTTTTCCCTATAAATAGATTTGAAGGGCCAACCGAGTTTGGGTTGCTCCAGCTCCTCTCTCTCACTCCCGATACCTTCTATAGCCATCCCGAAGTACCCCCAAAGCCTCGGTTTCATCCCGAGACCCGAATCAAATCGTGAAACCCGAAGATCCCGAGAAGTGAGATTCCCGAGCCGAAGCTTTGCCCGCAAGAAGCCCGGTTTTTTTGAAGATCTTCCAGATCTACCAAAAAATACTACTTCTACAAGGCGTAGTGATGTTCGATCATCTTCTGATCAAGTGAGTGTATAGTTACTTTCTTCTAACACATAAATATTAAGTATTGGCTATGAAATACGTGTTATGCGTTTATATATATTATTGTTTATATGTGTGAGTGTATAGTTACTTTCTTCTAACACATAAATATGAAGTATTTTCTATGAAATACATGCTATGTGTTTATATATTGTTGTTTATTTGAGATAAGTGTGGAATGGATGTTTTATATAGTTTTTTTTTAAATGAGTTAAAATGTATATGTATTTTATATCTATAAATATGTTGGGTAGAACATGGGTAGATGAGATAGTTGGTATGTGATAAAATGATGAGGTATGAAAGATGATTAAGCATTATATTGGTAGATGCACCAAATAGAGAATGACATAATGCTAGCAGATGCACTTAAGCATAATATTGGTAGATGCACCAAATAGAGAATGTCATAATACTAGCAGATGCACTTAAGGATAATATTGGCAGATGCGCCTAATAGTGAATGTCGTTATCATGGCAGAGGCTCTTAAAGGATAATGTTGGCAGATGCGCCTTCTGTAGCAATGGAAGTTTGTGCTAATTCCTTAGGTCAATCCTTAGGAACGAATGAAGGAATAATAGTTGATTAACAGGGTAAAACCTTGAGAAATAAAGAAGATAATGGGGATGAGTAATTGGGTTGATTGTTTGATGATTGAATATAATAATTATATTATTGTGGGTCGAAAACCCTATATGCTCACCGGGCTCGCAAACCTGACCCACTCAGTTTTCTTTGCATTACAAGTAATGGTACAAGAGTATAAGTTGGTGGACTTGACGAGAGATTTTAGATTATAGATCAGTAGTTATAAATAGCTAATATACGGTCTATTTTATATTGTTTATGCTTTTGGTCTGTATCGGAACATGACATCCTGAGATTTTGTTATTTAATTAAAATACATTTCTTTAAAGAAAGGCTTTGATAAATTCTTATTATATTTTGTTTTGGGAACAAATTCCGCAACCGTTGTTTAATGAAAATACTTTTGGTCTGTATCGGAACATGACATCCCGAGATTTTGTTATTTAATGAAAATACATTTCTTTAAAGAAAGACTTTGATAAATTCTTATTATATTTTGTTTTGGGAACAAAATCCGCAACCGTTTTCTTTAAACGAATACTCTGATTTATAAAACAAAGCATAAACAAATCGGTCTTTTCTGACCATGAAATTGGGGATGTCACAGCTTGCCCTCTATTTTTCCACTAGTAACCGATTTTGGTGAGCTTCATATCATTTATATAGTGTGTTACAATTAGGGTTACACCATGTAAACCCTAATGTGACATGACTCTTCATTTCCATGACCCATGGGTTTGTAACTCCCATGGAGCATCCTATGGACCTTAGCCCAACTTGATAATCCATGGAGCATCTAGCCCACTATATAAGTATGGATGATTTACACAATCAAACCATATATTTAATTAGTCTCCTTTTTGATCACTTAATTAATTCCAGATTAATTCTTGATCAATACTAATTAAATAATATTATTAATACATTAGAACTTTTAATATATTAATAAACCATAAGTGTTATTTCTCTTATTTTAGTTTATCCAAATGCATGATGCCATGTAACCCAAATGGACCATGCCGGGTCGGGTCAAGTACATACCAGAAATAGTTATGGACTTAGACACCTTATCCAAAAAAAATATCGAG